GACTTATCGAAGGAGTTTCCCGTGGGAACATGGACTTGAAGATCCAACGCGGGGTACCCTGTCTCTCTGAGTAGATAGGGGACCGTTCAAATGTCTGTCACTCAGAATGGACTGCTGCACAGATCAGGCTCCGATAAAATCACCACGGAAATCTTTGATGATCCGACGAGGGTCCGGACAGGCACCGGCGTCATGTTTCGTCGGATGGATGTGAGCCAACAGCTAGACCGGAGCAATCGAGCAATAGAGTCTGAAATGGATGATTAAAGTCTCGGGAAGTCTACGAGTCCACCATCAATCATCGGGTAATGAATTTATCACTAAGAAGAAGAATGAGCCCTGGGCAGCCAGCGGTAGAGAAAAAATTCCTCATTGAACCTTTGCTGATGGCTCTTAGTAAGTCCTGGACTCAGGGACCATGTTCGGCGACAGAATCATGCGAGAGGATCATTTAGTGGGATCCGACCGGCGCATTTACGGTTTCTTTTTATAAGGGTTAAGCTCCTGCCTCAATGGCGAAAAACACAACAGCGGTACACTAAATCCCGCGTCTCGTCTGCGAGTGGCCGCGGGGTCGCCAAGGTAGGAAAAAGCAATCTCCTGCTTCTCGATCGCGGCTCTCGCTTCTCCGGTGATTGATGACGTCGTAGCGTCCTTCACGGCATCAGGGAGGTCTAAAAGCATGTCATGGGACGCTTTACGATTCGCCGAGTGGACTGAAGCTACATGCGTTCCTGAAAATTTCCGGCCTATCCTCCTTCAATCAATCCTTCACGACATCATAAGCCGTACACTTCGCCCTGTCGTTCGATGGCACCCCGGCTCGATCATGCGCCCCCCGGGACGCTCCGAGGAGGACGGGTTGTACAGCGAGCAGGCGACCGACCCCCGACCCGGCTTTCGCGCCAACTCGCTGCGTTGCTCGCTCGATGGGCGAGGGTCGGGTGCTGAACCTTGTTCGGCAATCCGGCCCGCGAAAGCGATTCGTCGAAGGTCGTCGAGTGCTTTGAATTTTCGGGATAGGATCAGCGGCTCGATTCCCTCCGCATGACCCTCACTGAAACTCCTATGACAGCTCGAGCAGTCTTCTGCTTACGAGTTCTACGGGAAACGGTCGCGGCAGCCGTGCTCAAGGCAGATTTTCCCAGTCCCACACTCGTGGTCGCTCGTCAGCATCAAAAAACCAAACACCTTGACTGCCACCGTCCGGAGAGCCCCTGGAAAGGACATTTCGCTGAGGTGGTCGGCGTCGTGGCGAGGGTAATCGCTCGTGAGAGCCGGTTCTTCCCCTGAGTTACCGAAGGTCCTCTCCCCATTCGGCATCCAGTCTCTCTGGTTCTCTGAGCTTGATTGATCAATCCGATAAATTATTCTGTGGCGTCCCGGGGAGATGGCCGATACCCGTTGCATCTACATCGGGAATTGCTCCTTTTCGGAAGTGCTCGGAGAGCGCGCAGGAGCTTGTTGGAGCGGAGAAGATCGGGGAGAGGGCTGTACGATTGGAATCGATCATCACCGTGTCGGACCCGGGCTCGCTCAAGCGCCCTGATAAGGCGCGTTAGCCCTGAGAGACTTCCGATTATCGAGCTTCCAGCGTGCAACTTCACAGGAGAATCCGCGGAGCTGTTCGGCCAGAACCTCGTCTCGATGAGAAGGAATGTTTTCCGCATTCGGAATCCAATAATGTAGCATCTGTCTCACAGATGACAATCAAGCAATTTCCTCTGGACCGAAAAGAGAGAATACTACATAGTTCGCGATCTCTGGGGATTCTTTGTTCGAGAGCCGTGCTCGATACCTGATCCTCCCACCTCCCTGAACGAGAACCGAAGGGCGCGAAAATTATCGATTCATCAAATTCTAGGTCGACGCATTTCTGCTACCGAATCGCTGGACATATCCAATCGGTTTCGCCTATCGCATACAAAATTTTGATTCTTCAATTTCCATGAGCGCTTATGATATGACGAAAAATCGGGTTCCGTCTCCCAGTCCCGCCGCTGAGTCATTTCGCATCTCTAAATGTTTCAACGGCTTCCCCCTCGCCATCGAATATGCGATCTGCTGATCTTGTTGTGCATAGTCCGGAGCGCAAGCCGCTCTTGGGGAAAATTTTTGAAGAATCACGGATCAGCCTGGAAGCACATGAGCATTCAGGCTCCTAAGTTCCGGGGGAATGGGAGGGAGTCCAATGCTTGATCGCACCAGTAGGGTCCGAATCCGTCTCACGCCCGCTACCACATGCCTGGGATGATCGACGACTCCTTGACGGACTGCCTCAGTCTCTTTATCGGACTGTGAGTCGTGAGCCGATACGTTCGCCTCGGACAAAAACGGTTTCTTCACAATGTCGTACACCGGATCTTATTGCAATGGGGAGGTTGGAACGCCGAGATCTCAGTCGTTGGAGCAAGTTTTCAGACTGCCCATCGAATAATAGGAAGAATGCTGCTCGGAAGACATTAGGTAGCCAATCAGAATGATTCTCTACCGAAGGTTCATTGTATCAAGAGTCCACCATGAACTCCATTCCCCCGTGAGATGGTGTCTCTGACACCACCTTTCGCTGGGCTCCCCATAATTGATCCGGGATCGGCCTGCGAAGCGGCCGAAGCTTGTGCGGAAAACCTCATACTTCATTCTAGAGTCGCTTCAGCACGGGACATCAAAAGAATCGCGGAATCGATGGAGAAATCTCGGTCCACGATTGCTCTTCTTGTCAGAAAAAGAGAGCCCGGAAACTCGGTACGGGAGACGCTCACCCCAACGATTCTCATGAACGGGAAGGAGACAGAGAAGCAGACGTTGCCGATACTTGTTCTGAACGATCTGATTTCCGAGACAGTTCGGATGACATCTCCGCTCCAACGAGCCGAGCACCGCTCATGTTTTCGAGCGGAATCATCAAGAGCGACCTCCTTTGGCAATCGGTACGATCCGCCGAGAGAGAGAGAGTAATGGTCGGCTCTCCTACCTCACGGTGACGGTCCTAGAGCGCTTGAGCTCGAAGCCGCGATCTGCGAAAAGGAATTCCTTTCAGTGGAAGCGGGCTATTCTTCCTGTGACGGAAATCTCCCGAGACGGTCATTCGGGGAGTTGCGACCCGCATTTCCTCCGTAGGGTTCCTGTGATTCTGGTCTCTGATCGTCATTGCAGAACGACTGCGGACCGCTCCATTTTCCTCGAAAAATGGCAATCGAGATCATCGTCGTGGGAGAAGAATTCTTACTCCTACACTGACGAGGGTTAAATATTGGGAAGCGTGGGAGATTTGATGGCTCTCCAGAGGTAGCGCATGCATCCGACGCCAATTACTAACCGGAGTTCACTCTGAGTGATAAACATGATGAAAAGTCTACCGAGAATAACTCGACGCAAATTGATCGCTTTCGAGAACCACACTGCTCGCCGTGATGTATAACCCATTTACCGCGCACGGTGCTTGCCGGGGAAGAATGAGCCGGCATAATCCTCAACGCGACCCGTGGTACCAGTCTGGAGGAGAGTGCGCAGCGTACCCCTCTGGTTTCTTTTGCGCAAACTGCGCGTCGAGATTCATGAGCAAAGAGTCGACTGACAAAACAAATGCTTGTCACCCCCCGAATAGAGAACTTGAGAACAGCTATAAGTTGCCGCACCGAGATGGGGCGAACAGGAACGATCTTTCCTCCTTAACGAAACATTAACCCGTCCCCCTCGTTACCGAACGACTCAAGAGCGGCGCGGGCGGTTCGCATCGTCAAGCCAGCGGCATGTCATTTTTAGTTTTACGGCAGTTTGCCCTCTAGAAGCGATGGCTCGATTTTTCTGTCTTTTCCTTCTGGGCCCGTCAAGCTCTATCAAGATCAATTATCGAAAGTCATGCTACACGGTAGCGGGGAAGTGATGTTCTCTCGACATCACGAGCTCTAATGGCACCCGACCGCGAGCTTCCTCCTTGAGACGAGCCGGATTCATTTTTTCCATATTCCGAGCTCCCCAGTAGTTGAGCAAGATGGTGGGTCAACGGTGGATTAGTCGCAGAAAGAGTTTTCCTTGAAAGCTCTATAACATGAAAAATTCCCCCTCTTGATTGTCGAACCATCCGAGTTTGCGGATAGGAGTCAATTAGAGATCCGAGGATCATGTACCATTAATTCTGATTGTAGTTTTCGCCATCATCGAATCGAGTGGGGCCGCGGTGATGGATGCTAGAATGAACGACTCGATGAACGAAGATTCCGTCATCAGGGACCGTTGATAAGTCTTGATTTAGGAAACAGAAATGCTACGTAGCTCATCGAGTTGCTGCGGCTCCATATGGCAAGCGGACCCACCACTGGCGGCTCGTAGAGTTTGACCACGACGAGACAGAAGCCGAATGATCCATAAGCGCGAATGCCGCCGAAAACGACCGATTCTGCTGACCGCTCATGCGTTTCCAAATGAGGCACCGCCGAAAGAAATATAGTGATGGCAGCAATACAGCAATTCACCAGATGTGCTGAGCTCAAGTATTGGTGAAAGTTCGACCGTCACGTTGCTCGGCTGGAAAAAAGAATTGTCAATCGTCTTTTGAGTCTCTATCCTGGAGCCTGTGGGACCGCCAGACTCCGGTGCGCGTGGAGGGAATAAAGCGAATCGAGCGCCGAATTTCGGGAGGACACGGGCTCGATTAACCTTGAGACTCAAGAATTCTGGAGCCAAATCTGATTTCTGATAGCTTGTCTTCGAGCGCCGATTTCCGATATGGATCATGATTCGTTGCTGAGTCTGGCGCGGCGGCCGAGTCCATCGACATGAAGGAAGTTCGTTCGTTCAGGAGTCGGGAAGGAACTCAGAAATTCTTATGGTTAGGACGAAGGACGAGGCTGCTTTTTTTGAGAAACTTTTTTTCTATTTCAGGCTGAATGCTTCTGTCTGAGTCGGCGTCGTTCTGATGGGTCCACCTCTGCGTACCCGAAAGCGCTGTCGAAGGTCTCGTGAGGTCAATGGTGGCCTCTACGATCCGCACCAGCGCAATGGCTGCCGTAAATCACAACCGTTCATTCACGTCTGCCCTCATCGATCCGAGCTCAGCGGTCTCCACTCCCGAAGTGGTCACCGAATGGCTCGGTGTACTGACGACCTACCTGCTCATATTATCGTACATTAGCATCTTCATATTAGGTCTCATAGGCAACGTTCTCGTGATCGTGACACTCACTCGCAACAAACGGTTCAAGGTAGGATACAACGTTGCCTCTCAAAGACCTTGTCCGCTAATTCGTAGGCAGGTGATTCAGATTTCCAGCGCGTGGACAGGATCGAAACCCATCCGAGCGGAAGTAATGAGTTCCCAGCAAGGAACATACGGAAAGCATCTCTCGCAGTAGTGTAACACTCCATCCCTTCGATACGGCTTGTTGGATTCCACCGCGGAGCCGTTTATTCCGTTTGTCACGACGTGATGGATGTCGTTGCTTGTCTTGATTACCGCGGCACCATCGTCTACGTATTCTGAGCTGTTCCATACGATCGTTTTTCATGGGATTCCGACAGAGGTCAATCGGCGATTCGTTTTGTCGCGGCGTGCCTCGTCCCTATCAACTACGCCTCGGTCTTCAGAGCTC